TCATTCATTCATTCATTCATACATACATTCATACATTCATACATACATACATACATACATACATACATACATACATTCATTCATTCATTCATTCATTGATACATACATACATACATTCATACATTCATACATACATACATACATACATACATACATACATACATACTTTATTGAGACTCCCTTCAACAGGGCTTTTCGGTCACAATGTTAACTAACTTATTTACTGTAATTTAATTAAAATCAAATGTATTTAAAATCATTCAAAGTATATCCAAATTTACTACATATAGAACATATTGTTAAAAAGTTTCCGCTTAAAAATATCAATATCTTTAGTATTCCTAATGTTGTCAGGTAGACCATTCCATTCCCGTGGGCCGCGAAAATAAAATGCCCTTTGTCCCATCGACAATCTACATCGGGGGATCACAAAATCATTACATCCCCTTGTGTTCCTATTGTGAACTGCTGAACGCTTAACAAAATATTTACGTAAATAGTCTGGAGCTAAACCATTTACACCTTTATATGCTAAAACTAAATCATTAAATAAAACCTTTTCTGTAACATCTAACCATCTAAGAGATCTCCGCCCCTCAGAGATATGGTCAAATTTCCTTAAACCTAATACAACTCTGGCAGCAAAATTTTGTACCAACTGTAGTTTGTGTAGATTACGCTTAGATGTGTTCCCCCACACAGAGGAACAATAAAATAATTTACTAAAAACAAAGCTATTTATAAGTAATGAAAGTGTTTTCTTATCTAAAAGGTGCTTAATTCTTCGTATCTGTACTAACTGGTTCATGCAACTAGAGGCTGTTTTAGTAATATGCACATCATAGTTAAGATATCGATCAACATATACCTCGAGATCCTTAGCAAACGAAACTTGGTGAGATAGTCTTGCCCAGCAGAGTTAAGGGGATATGAGGTAGCCTCTTAAGAAGTTGTGCTGAGCCAATAACCACCAATTTTGTCTTCACGGGATTTATGAGTAAAGAATTCTCTGCACACCATCTACTGATGTTCCTAAGATCATGATTTACGGCGACTATAGCACTTGATGAGTCTGATATGGGAAATTTAAAATGCCTCAAAGACATCATCCCTATGTCAAATACATCATCCCTATTTCTCAAGGACATAGGGATGATGTATTATTTAACAATCTTTGAGAAGTAAGTGCTCTCTTTTGAGATCTTTACTTTCTCATTTTGAAAAAAAATAGGTCTTACAATGAGAAACTTTAGTCACCTTACAGTGACGACTCTGTTATCAGTTTTATGAAGTATTTATCACTCACTGTTAATGCATATATATTCCTTGTTTTGAGAACTGATAATTACACTCATTTTGAGTGATATCAATCCTCATCTTTACCACTTCCTGTTCCTCACCCCAGGACGCATTTTTAAGAAAAAAATCCTTAATTCAAGGTATCTGGAAACATACATTACAAACTTAACAGTGCACTAGTAACATACGCATACACATTGCGAGTTACACCATTGAAGAAACAGCATATCGATTGATTGAACTTATGCATGAGCTTCTTTTGCTGCAGTTCCCACTTGTGAACCACTTTCCAACGTTGATACAGCTCCAGGAATACCAAAGAAGCCTCAAACAAGTCACTTTACGAGCAGTTGGCCGTGAGCGACACTTCAAAATCGGACTATCGGCGAGCGTCTCGGTGAGCAGCGACCCGAGTCGCTTGAGCCCGCAGTTGAAATTACCAAAAGATCAGCGTTTTAAATGTAAAATTTATATTTACATAAAGTTTCACATAATGGTGTTACGGAGTGTCGGTTGCCTTACGGTAAAAAGCAATGAGACTTACAAGGTGGCGACGTAAGTGGTTCAAATCCGCCTTCCTCAAGTAAAATTTGAGTTTTGCTTAAGTTCCTTTCTTTGTTTTCTTTTTTTCCTTTTTCGGACAAAATAATCATTCTCCTGGATGTACACATTTAAAAATAGAAGTATTGATGCCATAAATGAAATATACGCTGTAAGAGATAAAAGTGTATTCAGAGATTGGGCAAACTTTAATTAATTCACAAATGAAAAACGTATACTTTTTTTACTCTTTCAAGATTATCATTGGCTTCTTTTTCACCCCAACACTATTCTTAGCAGCAAAGGTCACCATTTCGTTTGTTTATCACTCGCCAAAAAACTATCAAATACATTCAAAAGCCTAAAATAGAAAAAAGTTTACAGGAATCGACCAATCGAGCGAGCGAGCGAGCGCCATTCCTCGCATCATACCTACAACTCGCTCTTGCGCACGCGCAATTCACGAGTTGAAAAGGAGAACAAGGCATGGGTCCAGCTTGAATGAAACACTTAAGCTCAAATATTTCTTTTGCAGTAATGCTATTATATGATCTTAAAAGAGACTAAATTAAACATATTCAGAAGAACAGGTAGAAGAAGTCCGGCCAATGTGCTTTTAATTTTTCCAAATCATCCCAAGGCAATAAACTGCACTTGTTATTAAAACTAGCGAGGACGAGGCGTTGATTAACTTTGCAGAAACTTGCAGGTATTCTGTCAGTGGAGTAATGGTTAGTAGATTGTAGGTATATTGGGCTCATGTACCACTTTTCGTTATGTTTAATTTATCGATGAAGACTTGAGGCAGCTATAAGCAAGGAAGTTAAGAAATTTTGCATTTTGACGATGAGGTTTTTTTCTTTTCAAAACCAGCATTTTACACCTTTTATTTTAACGCCAGATCGGATTTTTCTGGGGGGAACAGATCCAATACTTATAAATTTGGTGTCTGACACTAAATTTCACGACATCTTTCTCTAAAATTGCTATAGTTAAAACATTCCTTGTACCGCAAAAGATCAGTGAGCCCAGACGAGAATTTACAATTAGCAATTTTTCAAATAAAATAGCGAAGCAGTTCCTTTTTGTGTTCCTGGTACCCTTAAGAGTAGCCATTATAATTTTTTTTTAGTTCGCTAATGCAACCACACAATGCTTGGGAATACTCTTTTAAGAAATAAATATTTCAAAAATAAGACAATGTTGTATTCAACAATGAATACAACATCTTTTTATCTGGCAAACGAAGCCGAATTTGTCAATCATGATCACGCAGTCAAGAGCTCTTAAAAATCTAATAATTCTAAGCGATAATTGATAGCTTTCTTTTTGAACCAAAACAGATAGTATGAACAGAGCTTTTATTTAACGAAACTGAAACTTTGAGTTGTGCACGAGGAACCCATTTAGGTGCCGCGAGGTCATTTTCTCATTTTGCACGTGAGCCAAATACAGGCGGCAAAATGAGACGACAAAAGCATTGTTTGGCAGGTCTGCAAAACTGTGTGAGGATCGCGATGTTGAGTAATTTCATTGGATTTAGAAATAATCATCAAAATGCTTCGAGATATATTGAGAGATCATCGGCATTTTTTTTCTCTTTTACATAATTCTTCAATGCCATACCTGGCCATATAAACCGAACCTTCCTTCTGATCAAACTCTTTTGAGCGTGAATCAGTTATCAGTCCTAACTTATGCGGCGTGCTGTTTTCGGCATGGTGTCCTCTTCTGCGTTTTAGCGGAGCGCGTGCAACCTAGCCCCATACTAAGAAATTTTTAAAATAGTCACTCATCAAGCCGGCAAAATTTATGTTACAACCGTACTACCGACCACACAAGGTGATACATTTAGTATGTGCGGCCAACTGCTTTGCCGGAAAAAAATATAGCCGATACATGGACTGTAGAAGGGAAGGGAGAAGGTAATGTGCAAACACCTAACTTGGAAATCCCATTTGTTTACGATGGGAAGCTTAGCTAGAGACTGATAGGGTGCGCATACTCGGATGCGAGCTTCCGATGCAGATTACCGCGGATACAGAGTTAGGCATGAGATGAGGACTTTGCGTAGCCTGGTGGCCGTGCAAAGAAAGAATTTAAAAACTCTCGTTCTGAGCGGGAAATCATGCTCATTAGGTTGTAATTGAAAACGTTATTAATTCTCGGTATTTTGTATTTTCTAATTAACTTGCACAGCAGTAGTAGTCAGAGCCAAAGCTATGTCGAACGGAGGAAATCATTTTCAATGATTCAAAAGTTTGGTGAGAGTGTTGAATTTATAGAGAATATGAAAACGATATGAAAAGGCTACTGTAACTATGCGATGAGCAACGTGAAAAAGAAGACAAAATTAAGAGACCCAGAAAAGAGATTGAAAAAAAGTTAATAAGAAAAACTAATAAAAAGTATATGTATGTATGTATACCTAGTATGTATTTATTATAAATCAGATTTTTTCGGATAATCCATAGACCATTTTTAAGGTCATGCGTATGAAGCGGATCTTGAGGAAAAAAACAATAAAAAGAGGTAACTGTTAATCTTTTTTTTTATATTACTTCTTACAAACTTAAGCCTTCGTTGAACCACATCTTTTCTGGGAATAAACCAGTACTTAGCAGTTTTTAACTTCAATCGATTGCCCCGCATAAGTTGTTTACTAGAATCGGGGCTGAGTTTTAAAGTACTGTTTTGAGAAAAGGGGTTAAGTCTTTCTGAAATCTAACTGGAAAATAACTGTTGTAGTATGGTTTACGATCTAAAGTCGTTTCAATTGCAGTGAGTTTATTTGTTACATTAAGATTCTCTGTTCTATGAACTGTTTACTTGACGTACAGCATTCCTGCAAGGTTTCTAAATATTCCAAGACTGTCATGGTCGGGTAACTCAGGGTATGGGTGGCCCATATAGATCCTATTTTCCGTTTGCCAGGGATTCTTCGCTCTGGGCTATCGTCTGTTCCACCGTGATGAAAGACGTGGTTTTATTCGGACATTATTATGCAAATACGAGATCGGCAAAACTTCTCCAAGTCTAAAACAGGTTGTTCCTTTTTTTTTTCTTAAATGTTTACTCACCACTGTGACATCCGGACGTAATGCGATATCCCTCGGCAGTAATTGTACAGTCATTAGTTTCCCAATGATAGGGATAAGCATAGTTAATAGAGGGGACTGGTTATGAAGGCCGGCATACATGAAAGGGCCGGCCTATTGTTCGGCTCCTGAGGTTGAAACGTACCGTGACGTCACGCGAACGTGCACATCCTTGATTTGCACTACAAGGCAACATGGCGGATAGTAGTGAACTTTTTATTTTCGGAGACGATTTTGATGCCATTTTAGACATTTTAGAAGAAGAAGAAGAGCTAGATGAATACTTTACAGAAGCTGCTGACGATGTAAGTATTATAACCTTCCTGATCAGTTTAAAAAGCGAGAGAAAACAAGTGTTTTGCTATTACCATTTCGGTATGTTTGACAAGATCGAGTTCAACTGTTTATCGTGCTTTTATGTCGGGTATTCTGTAATCTTTTTAATATCATATCTATTTGTAATAGGTCGAATTCGATGACTTAGTATGCGAACTGTGTTCCAAGAAGTGCAAAAGCAAGAGTGGGTTAAAGCGACACAAAACAGCGAAGCACAAAGACCAAAATAGTGCAGATTCGTCCGAAAAGCCAAGGGAAACAGAGCAGTTCACCTTCGAGATTTATTGTGAAATCATCCACAAAGCAAAAGCCAAAATAGTTGGAAAGAAATTGTATCCAAGTTCGATTAGAGAGGAAATAAATACCTACCAAACAAATCCAGCAAATGGAGGTATAAGCGAAATTTTTT